ATGGATGTGATCAAAAAGATGTGAGAGGAGATTGGGCGGAAAAAGCAAGATATATAGATAACAGACAGTATTATGAGTTAGTTTATTGATGACAATGAAACAGTTAAACGATCTGAAACCTGACTCACAAGAACAATTACTGACAAACACATCGCATTGACGGGTTACAACCTTCTCCACTGCGACCGCCAGTGTTGCAATTTATGTAAAAAACAAATTCCATGTTACCGTCCAATCATCAGTAACTGTTTGTAAACACTTTGCGAGCTCCAACTTTTCAAGGGCTATTTTATCACCATTGTGGGCAGTTATAGACGCCCCTCAGCTAGTAGTGAGGCTTTAATTTCACTTAGTGGAAAAACGATCTACTTTAGATTTTAATGAAATTATCCTGACCGGAGATTTCAACTGGGACTGGTCGTCTTCTGCCTCAGTTTTAAATCTATGTGTGATTGATATAATCTCACACAACTAATTTACAGCACAAATCTTAAATACCTAGAAAAGTTGTCACTTATTGATTTATTTTTAACTAACATGCCACATAAACATTCTCACACTGGTGCAAATGAGACCAGTGACCACTGCGTGGTAGCTGTAGTCCGACGCTCCTAAAATCAAGACCACAAATAGTTTTTAAACAAGATTTTAAGCATTTCTTTGAGTAAGCTTCTCTTTTTTAAATCAAAAGTAAAAATAAAGAGTAAAAATACAGAAACAATCCTTTGTTTTCTCCTCAGCTCTCCAGTCTCCTCAAAAAGAGGGGTGCTGCCTGGGCTCAGGCCAGAAAAACTCAATCTGAAGTGGATTGGCTGATTTTTGAACAGCTCAGTGACTGGATGAAGGAGAGAAGTAACGTCGGCTACCCACACACACTTTTCACCCAGAGAGCTGCTGCACTTCCGATACCAACGGTCCAGTTTTTGGAGAGGACAGGAAAGGCCGAGGACCAGGACGAGATTCCGGTCTTGACAGATGGCGAGCCAACCACTTTCAGGACAAATCACTACCACAAAGAAGATACACACATCCACACTCATACAATACATTTACAAGGACCTTTGACGTCAGCTGTTGCTAACATAACTCTAAATTCTTTAACGGGCCCCAATGAATACTTTTGTTTGAGTGTGCACACTCTTCATTTCACACTCTAAGCTGCAGGACGATGATCGATTTTGTAATTGTATCATCAGCGCTGCATCCATCTGGACACTCGGGTGACGAGAGGTTCTGAGCTTTCAACTGATCACCATCTGGTGGTGAATTGGATCAGGTGGTGGGGGAGGACGCTGAACAGCCCTGGCGTGCCTAAACGTATAGCGATGGTGTGCTGGGAGCACCTGGCAGAGGCCCTGGTCCACGAGATCTTCAACTTCCACCTCCAGCAGAGCATCAACAGGATTTTGAGGGGGACTGGGGACATTGAGTCCGAATCGACCATTTTCAGCACCTCCATAGTCAATCAGGCAGTTAAGCAACAAATTAGTGGCAGGGCCCCTGGGGTGGATGAGTTCCTGAAGGCTCTGGATGTTGTAGGGCTGTCATGGTTGACACATCTCTACAATGTTGCGTGGAGATAAGGGGCAGTACCTCTGGATTGGCAGATTCCCATCTTTAAGAAATGGGGCCAGAGGGTGTATTTGCACTATACACACTCCTCAGCATCCCCAGGAAGATATATGTCAGGATTCTGGAAATGAGACTCTATCAGTCGAACCTCAGATACAGGAGGAACAATGCAGTTTTCGATCTGGTCGTGGAACACTGGACCAGCTCTTTACCCTCTCGAGAATACTTGAGAGTGCATGGGAGCTTGCACAACCAGTCCACGTCTTTGTGGACTTGGAGAAGGCATTCGACCTCATCAGAAATTTCATATCTATTTTTTGGAGATGAAGTGTTTCTGTTTGCGTCATCGGGTGATCGCCTCTAGCTCGCACTGGAATGGTTCGCAGCCCAGTATGAAGTGGTGGGAATGAGAATCAGCACCTCCAAATATGAGGCCATGGTCCTCAACTGGAAAAGGGTGGAGTGCCCAATCCAGGTCAAGGACGAGTTCCTGCCCCAAGTGGAGGAGTTTAAGAATCTCAGGGTCTTGTTCACGAGTGTGGAAAGAAGGTGGCGGGAGATTGACAGACGGATTGGTGCTGCGGCTGCAGTGATTTGGACGCTGTACCAGTTTGTCGTGGTGAAGAGAGAGTTGAGCGTAAAAAAGAAGCTCTCAATTTAGCGGTTGGACTCAGGTGCAGAAAAAGAGGGTCCAAACACACTCCGCTCACTCGTCTCGCATTTGTCTTCAGCACCCACACCCACTCCACGCCACACTAAACTAAGAAATCACACAGGAAACAGAGATTTCCAGAGCTGAGCTGACGAGTGTTATTCAACAATCCAGTGAAGACACGTGGCTGTGTTTCTGTCAGGCAAACTATCCTGGAAATATCACCTCTCAGGTGGGTTTTGGCTCCACCCCCATGAGAGGATGGATGCATATAACTAATAGGTGGTCACAGTACTATTTTAGCTCAACAGTGTGTTATCACTAATAAGTTACACCACATATAAAATGACAGAGGCCCAATATTAAATATGTGTTTCAACTCAAGCAAAGACAGTGAACGTTTTAAAACAGACCTCTGTAATCGGCAGCTTCTGTGTATGAAAGAAGATGCTCATCGTGAGTTATATGAGTCATAATCTGATCACATCAGAACATATAAAATGGGGAGTCTGCAGCTTAGATGGACTACTACTGCCATCACATGGACTACTTGTTAATAGCTGTTTGATAAAACACTTTTTCAAAGCAGAAAACTGACGTGTACTTTAAAGAGAATTTGATAGAAGTATTTCCTGATTATTATTTGTACTTCTGATATCAGGTTGTTAAAGCAGACAAGACAGCCCACGATCAGAACAGAAGCCTTTGCTGATGACATTCATGAGACATTCTTAATAGGACATATGGTCTCACTTTACAGTAGGACTCCTGTTATAGAAAGCTAATAAATAGTTTATATATATGTTATTAATGAATCTGGAAACAGTTTTTCATAAGTGTTTACTATTCATTAATTAAGGGCAAAAGAAGAAAAATCTGAC